TTTCCCTACAGTCCCTGGAAATCGTGGTGGATATAACAGGAGAGGTGGCAATATGCCCCAACGTGGAGGTGGAGGAGGTGGTGGCAGTGGCGGAGCAATAGGCTATCCATACCCTCGTGGTCCTGTCTTTCCAGCCAGAGGTGGTGGTGGTGGAGGCGGATATTCAAACAGAGGAAATTACAACAGAGGTGGAATGCCCAACAGAGGGAACTATAACCAGGTAATGTATTGTTGTAGCCAGAAAGATAATAGTTCTATTTGAATTGTATGTTTACATGTTTTTGGCAGTTGATTTAAGCCCTGCCTGTGCTTGCATGTATACATGTGACAGTAGGAAAGGTACTTTAGCATTCCTGAAGCTCTTAACATGATCCATATCTAACAAATATTACACAAATAAGCCTTAAGTTAATATCTTACTAAATTTAAAAACACTCTAAATTATACTTGGCACTGCTTTTATGTGGGGTTCCCAGTGGACTTCCACCTGAAGAACTTGTGTGCTTGCCATTGGCAGTGGGACAACCTCAAGCAATTTCAGGCAATCTGTTAAGCTTCAGTATAAAAGTTCTGAAGCTAAATGAAGCTTTCTTCAAAAGCATTTATAGGTTAAGGAGGAGATAATTTTAAATATAGTGACTAATGAAATTCTACAACCTAGTCACAGGTTCCTTATACACTTCACTGAATATCCCAGTTGGACTTGTGAAATTTTGTATGCAGTCATTCAATAAATCACTTGAAAAAGAATTCGCATTATTTACACGAAGTCTTGCCTAAGCTTCTTGCATATGTTTGGAAGCAGTATTAACCTTTGTCACAAAACTTTGTATTGACCAGAAAAATGTTGAAGGAAAAGATAGCTTTAACTTCCTTAGAATGATGCCCAAGTAGTTAAGTATTATAAGGATTTTTAATAGAAGTTGATGTATTAATCAACTATCAGTGGAAGCTGATAAAAACTGAAATTTGCTTAATTGTTAGACAGTACCATGGTAAGCCTTTGGCCAGTGTTTTCTCCAGTGTTCAGTGATTAACTGATATAAATCCTTTTGTTTTGTTGCAGAACTTCAGAGGAAGGGGAAACAATCGTGGCTACAAAAATCAATCTCAGGGCTACAACCAGTGGCAGCAGGGTGTAAGTAGATATTCTCATTTTGTAGATAATTCTGTGCATGCCTAAAAAGTTTTTGCAGGACTTCAGTTACACCTTTATGTAGGAAAAAAGAGTTGATCTATAACTGTTCAGCACTGAGTCATAGGTTAACATTGGAACATCAGATTTCCATGGTCTTCTCATCACATGCATCAGAGCTTTCTGTAATTTTTGTGCTACAAAACATTAGTATGCACTTAATCATTAAAAATATACTTGACAAAATATCTACCTTTGTTCTTTTGCAGCAATTCTGGGGTCAGAAGCCATGGAGTCAGCATTATCACCAAGGATACTATTGAATTCCCAAATAAAATGAACTGATCCATATTTCTTCAAAACCTTCACAAGAAGTCGACTGTTTTCTTTCGTAGGCTAACTTTTTAAACATTCCACAAGAGGAAGTGCCTGCAGGTTCCTTTTTTAGAAGCTTTGTGGGTTTTGATTTTTTTTTTGTACATTTTTAATTGCAGTTTTAAAGTGAATCTTAAGAGAACCTCAGCGTTGTGCACGATAAGCGAATGTGTCAGTATTTCAGGGTTCTACATTTTATCTGTAAAATGTGACTTTTTTTTACCACAACAAAAGTAAAATGTTGCTTTGTATCTGGTGTCCTCTTATTAAAGATTTTCTTTCTCTTCTTTCCCCCTTCCAAATTTCTAAGAAACAGTCGCGAGTCATCACAACAGAAAAGTTAGCAACCAGGCTTTTTGTGCCCCCCATAAATATTAATACAATGTAAATAATGCTCATTAACACTCCATCTTCCACTCCATCCTCTCTATGCAGTTTCTAGGTATGGAAGAGGGAAAGGAAATCAAAATAGTCTTTTGGCAATAAACTAGGGTGTATTTTTGTTTTTTAATTTGGCAAATGGTTTTTGAGGGGGGCAAAGCAAACCTAAAGCTAAATAGTGAAGGTGGAGTGCATGTAAAACCTGGTTGCAATTGTCTGTGGAGGCTCAACTTGTGAAGGTATGCACCATCAACTTTTTCCATTTGTTCTGCATTTTGATTCTGAAAAAGCTGGCTCTGCCCATTTCTTATTAAACAAACTTGTTGTAAATCCAGTTGTCTAATGGGATCTATATGAAGTTAGCTGTGTGTCTGTAACCCTTTCCCCACAAATACTGTGTATTTAGTGTGCTTGTAGTAGTAAACTCCACCATTTTGTAAACAAATGAAATTGTGATTCACCCATTTTATATCTAATTTTTAATCATGTTAGTTCTCAGATGGGTGTGTCTCCGTAGCCTGCTGATTTACTTCTCTAAAGAAAAGTGGGTGGAGAAATTAACTTTAGCCGTTTGTTTGCAATAAAATAAAATCATTTTACTCTTGTTTTGGGATTCTCACCACATTGGTCTAAAATCCCTTTAATGACTGAAAAGCAGGATGCACAAATGTAGTGAGGTGTATTTACACACTACATATATGCTTTCACACAAGCAAAAAAGTTGCTACAATATTTAAGCAGTGTAACTCCTGACAGGCCATCTGGAATTGTATGCTCCTGTAGGACTCCAGTGACGCTTAAAGAAATTTCTGATTTTCATGAAATAGATGGAAAAACACTTGTTATACAGCAATTTTAACAAAAGGATGTTCACTACTGTTCCTTTAGTATGGTTTGGTGCTGAGCCCAATAGTGGCTTGTCTTACATTCATTAGAATTCAGCAGAGGTCAGATTTGAGCATCATAGCAAGTTGTCTTTGATGAATCAAATTCTATATTGGATGGGTATTCTGCAGAGAATTGAGTTTCTTGTAGATACCATTTAGAACAAAACGACTGAATCTCAGGCAATTCTGCTCCTGGTAATTTGATAATGACATAGTTGTAAACATGTTTTAATTCTGGCATTTTAAAGTTGCAAAGTTAAGTATCATGATTAAGAAACTTGCAGCCAGCAAAGCAACAAATTCCTGACTACCTGATAAGTAAACCTGATTAGCTTTTCATGGATTTGTTTCCAGGGTAAGGAGGTATCTGTCTGCTTATTTATTAAATTTCTGACCCACCCCATTAGCCACAAAACTCCCTGAGTGGGTTAGTTCTTTAAACTTTTGGTTTCTCTGCTAGCCAGAATGGTATTCAAAGTAGAAATCACTTTATGAAACAAACATGGATTTTTCGTATACTGATTGGACCTAATTCATTAAAAGACATCTACAACTTAATTCGCTATAGTAGTAATGTTGGTACCAGATGCTCAGATTTGGCGGCTTATTGCCACAGATTTTAAAGCCTTTGAACCTCTTTGTCTAAACACTGCTGATTGACATGAATGTGCACTGATGAAACAACTTGGACTTTCAGGAAGTTGATTTGCAGTTTAAGCTAGAGTAGTTAAGTCACACCTATTTGTACATTAAGACCTACTTGGGATGAAAGGAGTTCTAGTGCAATGACCACTTAAAAGTGCTGTACAAAGTACACTTTCTTGTGGTTTGTTGTCATGCCTTTAATTTTTTACCATCATTTTCTGTTTGCACATGGCCAGTGGGAGGCCTTGATCATGCCAGCTGCAATATGTAGAACTGAGGGAAATAGTATCTTTTGTAGATTCTTTAATAAATTTATCTGGGTTTTCAGGAAGGAAACAAGCATGCTGGTTTTGAAATCAAGAAAGTTGCCTCTACTGAAGTAGAGGGGATATTTAGCTATGGAAGACTTAAATCCAGGTTTAAACTGCCATAAATATCTATTGAATATCAACAGTGTAAAAAAGTTAAAAGCCATGCAATCACAAGTTACACTGCTAGGCAGCATGAAAATGCTATACCTCACATTACGATGTTTCGCCTCATGCAACAGAACAGGAACATAATTTAGAAGAGCAATTTGATGCAAAATGTGTAGAATGAAGGATGCAGAGGTAGTTGGGGCTTTTTCTTACCAATCTTAAGTTTCTCATTGTTTGAAAATACCATCCTAAAAAGGTCAAGTTCACAATACTACAGCAGCTTTTATAAATTTGCATGTGAATGAGGAGCTTTTGCTGTACCAATGGTGCAATATGCAACATGATTAAAATTTTATTTTGATTGGTAAAATGTATTTTTAAAATGTAGTTAGTTGATTTTTCTTTGCACAAAAGAGGTGAAATTGTTTAGGGCTAGCACAAGTACTGTTGTGGATAGTGTTTAGGACATGAGAGAAAAGTAGGCTACATACATCAAATCCTGTGACACATCTGGACTAGATATAATGGTATCTAAACATAGTAACTGCAGTAAGAGCTATGTAGTCAAAAATACCTTGTTAACAAAAGCTGTCTTGTTCCAATTACCTGTCCCAGGAAAAAACATGGCCCAAAAATTACCTGCCTTATGTACATCTAAGGTGATGGTTTTCCATCAAATGCTATTAACTACAAGATACTTATTTTTTTAGTATAAGGCATCCTTCTCCAAGCAAACACCCTCTAAATGTATTGCAGTTTCCAGTAACCCCCAGCCAACAAGTTGGGAATTGTAATCTTAGCATATTTGGAGGCAAAAGGCTGGGAAAACCTTTTATTATGAATAGTGCCATCCATATCGTAAAGTAATAGATTTACTAAATAACAAAGATACTTTTCCTGACTGGGTATCAGTTACTGTTGCAAGAAGCATTACATTAGGTTGTACCATTAATTGATTTGACCTTGTATTTACTCATTTGCATGAGCCAATTGACATGAATTTTATTAGTGGGGTTGGGTTCAATAGAAATAAGTTATTAGGTTATTGTGCTTTTCAAAATATTTGGTAGATGCTGGGTGAGCAGATAGACCTATTTTTTATGGAAAAATGCAAAGCTTGAAGGGAGTAGGCAAAGAAGGCCCAGACTCAGGAAGAGCTTTATCCGTCAAATAACTTCAATCTGTTTGGTTTTCCCACTATTACATGCAGACAAGTAAGAGAGAAACTTTGATTTTAGGCCGCCTGAATGATTATGGTACTATGGTAAAAGGAAAAAATGTAAGCCTTGCAAAAGGAACAATGGTCTTTGCATAAATCAGGTTTAATTCTTGTCAAAGCTTTTTCTACTGCATGTTTACTTAAAAGTCCTCCTGAGTTCATTAAAGGTTACTCTCAAGCAAGTAACAAAATACTGTGGCACCTTAGAACTCACATTTATTCCAGCATAAAGCTTTGATGGTCTTTGCCTTTGTTATGCACTTGAAATTGCACCTAACAAGTGTAATTCCTTAATTTAAAGTGGAAAGGACAAGGCATTTTATACCCAAGCATATTAACCCCTCCCCCCCCGCAGAATCAGTAAATTCACAATACAAAAAGATTTAAAATGATTAATATATTAAATGGATGTATTAGTCAACTGAATGTTTAAAAAAAAGTTGAAATGAGAAATAGAATACTTGTTTCAGATATTTATCCAGATCTCTTGTTGAATAATAGAAAATGCTCAGGAACAGTAAAGTAAACCTGAAGATTGTTATTGGGAGCATTAGGCCCAAAAGCAGCTTGTGTAAACAAATTTATGTAACTCGTGTTTGCTACAGCAGAAGGTCTGTAATCCAGCATTTTTTAGCAGCCAAACAAGTACTTGAGAAAAAAGACACAAGTACAATAGCACTTATGTCTTACAGAAACTTGTATACAACTTGTATTCTCTGAGGACACTTAGAGCATTCCTTGATCTTAGTCTATGTTTCTCCTGTCTTGAAGGTAGCTAGCCACTGTGAACTGGAATTGTGGCAGTGTGTCTTAATTACCATTCTGTTTTATAGTTAGTACTTCACACAACAAAGTGAAAAGTACTTGATATTCTATCATACCAATTTCTACAGCTGGTGGAAATTTAGGAAGTGTCAAAAGGAGTAGAGAAAATGGTGGTTTTTTCAAATGAGATTGATGCAAAGTAGTGTCAAACCTAAAACTAAAGGAATTTGGTAAAAATTATGCAGTGATACTCAAAACATTTCAATGGGCTTACTCCCACATATGTAGGTATCGGACTATAGCCTTTAAAATGGGTTGGGAACATGTGGCTTTCTATGCTGATTACAGTTGCTTGTGAAGTAAGGCCCAAAAACCCTGGAGGTGTACAGGTTTTAAAGCCAATGCCATACTTTCACTAGATTTTGTTAATACTGCCCCCACTCCCATATATTAATGCATTATTATCAAAGGCTAATTTGTATTCGTTGCAAATTTTCAATACCATGCAAATTCCAAAATACATCCAACTAGTACTTTAAGCGGTGGAGCCATTCTGAAGTAGTAATCTTGTCACCCACAAGTACCATTACTTTTACACAGTCAAAGATGAAACATGAGTGGGTCAAGAAGACAGCCCACTGCTAGTAGACACGTTTGCCTAATACTCAGCAGTAAAGAGACTTTATGGTTTTACAAATTAATTAGCATAGCAAAGTTACAGATAATCACTTAAACCTTGTTGCAAAAAACTAGGAACGGCTTCCTTCACTGTTTGTCACTGTCTTCTTCCCTGGATCAAATGGAGTACTTTCAAACAAAATCTTGTTTCTTACAGCTTCTTGAAGCATACGTTGCTGAATCCTTAGTTTTGCATTATTGTATCTACAATAAAACCTTTGAAAAAAGAAGTGCTTTAGAAAAAACCTTGTTCAGAAGTCATATCCAGAAACGTAAAAAGAAGATGCAAAAATTTTAAGACAATTCTGAGAAGAAGGATGGAACAGGAAGTGGATTCAGAGTTCATCTTCTATGAACAGATGGCCTCCTTCCATCCAGAGATTTCTGATCCAAGAAATATTTCTCTTGGCAGAAGTGGGAAGAATGTAAACTTTACTGAGTCTCCCCCTGCAGTTCCTCTATCTCTCATAATCTAATCTGGAGGGTTGGTGGAGCATCTACAATAGTGAGGAGAGGTAATGTTGGAGTCAGCAGAGAGAAAGAGATTGCACCCTCCTGGTTCTGAGGCTCTTCACTCAGAACACTCCTAGCAGAAAAGAAGCCCCATATTTCTAAACATTTTGGCTGAGGCAGCCAGAAAGCAGGGTTCACTTTTAACCTCTTTAGTTGCATACAAATGCAGAGATAGGGCTGCTCTCAACCCCTTCCTTTCAACAGAAGGCTTCAAGAAGCACAGGTGTAACTACTCTTACTTGCTATCCCATTTTCCTCTTGCCATTTTAAAAAGTAATAGTTGCCTTGAGCTGACCTAAAAATAACTTTAAATAAAAACAACAAATTAACAAGATAGATATGGTAAAGCTAGAGTACCTTATAATTTGCAACAGTGAAAATAGTAGATACAAATTTCCATTATGTGGTATCACCTTGTGATTTTTTTAAAGTTTTTGGCAAAACTACTAGAGACGGGTGCAAGAGATGCACATGGGCCTCCTGCCATATTCTAAGGACTAGCATGGCATGCTGGGACATGGTAAGATCTAACACAAATCTATTCATGAAGTGTGCATGATGGCAAGACAATCCAGTAGTACTACTTTGTCATAATTATAAAAACATACACACCAACATCCTAATGTTGTCAGAACAAAACCTCCCATTCCGAAGTGACAAGATCGTCTCACTCTGCCTGAGGAGGGGAAAGAGAAGGTTATTCATATTTAAGGTAGACAAAATAGTTAGCAGGAAGAAACAAAACTCACAGAAAACAAGGGCACAGATTTCAGAAGTATTTGCATACCTATTTCTGAAATGAAAGCCAGCTTTGGATAATCTTAAGGACACTTACTATTGTTGTGCAAAGCCCAGTGGCTTGTAACCAACAGTGGCATTCCATCAATGGAATGGCCACCATTACAGTTTAATTTTCCTTCTCCCTGCAGATTTCTGAGTGTGGTGAAGGTCACCCACAGAGAGAAGGGGAAGAATCATGTGAATCACTGTCTATTTGCATAGCAGTTTAACCCTTTAAGATTACATTTTAAAATGAAACTACAGAAAACATGGAGGGAGGCTTTAGTTGGTTGGATGAGTAAACACATTGACATAAGATTGCCAAAGGGGGGGTAGTGGTAACAAATGAAGTCTGTGGTAAAACACAAAATGTAAATAACATAGCAACTGGCTGAGAGTTTATTTAATTTCAATTATTTGAACTAATGCCTCTTTAGTTATTAATTCAGCAGCCAGGGTACTCTGAAGTTTAAAGATCTGTCAATATTCAAAGTTTGCAAACAAATAGAGCTGAATACCTTTGCTGGGAAGGGGTTTAAGTGAAGGAAGTAGGGCACACTGTGAAATATTGATCAACTGTACCAGTGAGTGAATTAAAGTGATACAAGGGTGGCAAAAGAATAGAGCAATATGAAAGCATGAAGGGAGAGGGAAACACAAAACATTGTAGATAAAGTCTTCAACTTTTACTTACTAGTTGCCAAAAAGTGCCCAAGGCCCACAGCTAGAGCACCCAATGTTCCATAAAGCAATGATTCTCGAGCACAAGGGACATTTTTGATATCAAGTATTCCCAGCACCTTAAAAGACTTGAAAAGAAAAATGACATCAAAACTTTCTTATACAGTCAATGCACTTTTATTGTACCTTTTTTCCTAATGAACAACCGTCTACTTACTCAATAGGAATGCCAAATTCTAAATGTCATTTGATTTCTAGTTGTCTTGTGTGACTACTACCAAAGGCTGCTTATCAGTGGAGAAAATGGATTTCAGATCACCTGTCATCTGGATAGTTGGCTAACACACCTGCAAGGTTGTGAAAAGTATTCTCAGTGTGGAGATAAAGAAAGCTGAAACCACCTGTTTGTGTTTGAACATGGGAAGCAGTTGATGTTATCAACACATTGTGCTTTTGAGCCACATTTCTGGGTTGTGTTGTACCTACAGTCATGATTCCTAGCTTCTGAATGATAGGGTGCAGATATCCTAACCTGATCTACAAAGCACTCTGAAATTCCAGTTCATCTGGGATCAGAATATCTTAATGACATCATCCTCCTGTATGGTCCAATCCACTTCTTTAGACTTCCGGGGTTCTATTCCATATTCTCCCCCATTTCAGGTGCAGTGGTTGGCTATCCAAAACAAAGCCTGTACAGTAGTACACCTACTATGAGAAAATCTCTCCTAAAGGAGACACACTTCATTCTGAGGTCTGCATGGCAGGCTAAGACATGGCTGTTGAAGAGACTCCGCTGCCTATGGCTTTGAGCTTCTTTTGCTGCACACAAAATGTGGTATTTTGGTAAACTGATCTGGATAGTAATACATATGTCAGCTGTATTTTTTATTGTAAGTTACATGCTATGCATGCTTAGACAGAAAAAAAGGAGTGTTGCCTGGAGAATATTGAGAGTTGTAGTTATTGCTTTGTATCTAGCATGGTTGTTACTTGTTTCTGTATCTGCTGAAATGCACACTTGGTCTATATATTTGTAAATAAAAATATTAAAATGAGTTTCTTTTGACAGCAAAGGAGCCCATTAAAGGCTGATTTCTATCTCCCATCAGTCAGAAAGAGGGCTCATTAACAAGAGATTTAAAGTTACATTATAATGCAAATACTGAGCAGAACTCTGACTTCAGTTAAAAAAAGAATTTACTTAGAATATTTACTAAGATTTATTTAAAAAAACATTTTGACAATATTCAGTATGAGCTGAGCACAAAGCAGCTGAAGAATCAAAATTCAATAACTTCTTCTGTTATATAAAACTGTAAACATGTAGCAAAACATAAAATTATTAAATATTTTCTTGTTTCGTAATCAAACTATAAGATTTATAATGTTATGCATTAGGAAAGTAAAAAGTAATATCTGGTTACATGGTAAATCAACACTCATCAATATAAAAACTTTGTAATTTTGCAGTTAGGGAGTGCTCCTCGACTCAGGGGTGTCCCTGGCGTCCCAGGTGGCAGCAGTGGTGAGGAGTGATTTCCTTCAGCTTTGGCTGATCCACCAACTGTGGCCTTACCTGGATGAGCATAGCCTGGCAACAGTGACCCACGCTCTGCTAACTTCCTCGTTGAATTACTGTAACATGCTCTATGTGGGGCTGCCCTTGAAGACAGTCTGGATACTTCAATTGGTTCAGAATAGAGCTGTCAGGATGTTAACAGGGACCAGCCGGTTTTCACATATAACACCGGCCCTCCACTGGTTACACTGGCTACCAATTGAAGTCTGGGCCCAATTTAAGGTGCTGGTTATGACCTATAAAGCTCTAAATGTCTTGGGTCCAGGATACCTGAAGGAGCACCTTCTTCCTTATGTCCCTCCTGCCCCTTGAGATCTCAGGTGGAGCCCCTGCTCCGGGAGCCCTCCTTGAAGGATTAGGAGGGAGAGTACCCAGAGGAGGGGCTTTTCTGCGGTGGCGCCTCAACTATGGAATATGCTCCCCGGAGAGGTTTGCCTGGTGTTGACATTATATTCTTTTCGCTGTCAGGCAACCCCCTTTTTATTTTCCCGTTATTTTAATGTTTATTTTAACTGGGATTTTACTATATTAGTAGTTGGATGCTGTGGGGTTTGTTTTGTTCTACATATTTATTGTAAGCCGTCCAGAGACGCTCTGCAGGGGACGGGATAGAAAAGCTATTAATTAATTAGTAAGCAAGCTAGCTAGCTAGCTAGCAGTCTAACCCAACTAAGGTATACTTGTTTTTAACCCTTTTCAATCCCTTCATAAGTTTTTTGCTCATTTTTCCTACTGCGATCCCTTGCCCTCCACTCCAAAAAGTTACTGCATTTTACTGGCTTGCAGGATTCTTCCTTATGCTTTCACATATGGTGTTCACATAGTTCTGGCAACGTCATTTCTTTCAGTTTCTATCCGGAGGATAAGAAGTGGCGCAGAGGCCGAACCGGGCACGGGTCAGGGCTGGTTCGGACCTCACTGCAGTTGCAGGATCTAATCTAAGCGTGCCAGGATTCTCTACATTGGGCTTATCGCCCGCAGTCAGCCGCCACGATCGTTAAGCGGAACCTCCCCATTCAGAGGCAGTGTACCTCTGCACCAGCTGGTGGAGGGGAAACGGGCGAAACGGCCTCCGTCAGAGCCTTTTGAGGAAAGCCCGTTGGCTCTTGGGTGGCCGCTGGAGAAGCACAATTTTCAGCTCGATTCACTCGTTTGATACCATCAAGACGGCATTTACGTTGGTTTGACTGAAAAGAGGTCATTTTATTAGTAGCATTTATTATACTCAGCATTATTAGCCCCACAGGGCTGTCTCCCATTTCCTCGTATATTCAAAGGAGACTACGACCGAGGCTCCGTGCGCGCGGGCGGCCGGATCGCGGAGCTCGCACGACCGTCCTTGCCATTACCTTCTCCGAGCCCTCGGTCATTTCCTCATCCGCCATAATAACGCTCCACGCGGACGGCTTGGCTCGGCTCCCCCGCCCTCTCCTCGCCTCCTCTCCGTCCACAAACTACCACCAAAGAGCCGGAAGGCGGAGATGAGCAGAGAGTCCACAATAGAGACAGCCGCTCTAGCCACTCGCTTCTCCCGTCCGTCTTTTTCTATGTGACTCCGCCTTTATCTCTATGGTGCTCGGAGAGAGTACGGACGCCATTTTAGGTCTGGAGAGGAGATTTCGAGCAAGAATCCTTTGTTCAGTGAGATGGGTCATGAAGCAGCTCGCGCGCCTTGTGTGCGCGGGCGGGCGGGAGCGCGCGCTCTCGGCTTTCCCCGACAGCGGCCCTCGCGATAACTCCCCTCTCCTCGCGCGCCCGCGCGCCGACTCCCGCCGCAACGCTCCAGTCGGCGGGTGTTGTTCGGGTACCCGCTGTGCAGTCGGGGGCGCGCCTGGAGCAGGAAATAGTGTGGTAATCCTGAGAGATTAAATAGTAACAGGCTGGGCCTGGCTGATGGTGCCCCTGGATAGACTTGTGGCGTTGCAGATTATTTATAGTGGGACTAATACAATGCAGTCCTATACGTGCCTAGTAAATTCCATCGAGTTCAGTAGGACTTAGTCCCGGGTACGTGTGTATAGGATTACGTCCTTAGTTTTGGCTGCTTAACTTAAACGCAGTTCTAAGCTTCTGAGTTCGCTGGATTTTAAATAGAGGGGAAGAGAGAAAATACTGGTGTGCAGTATAGTCCTGTGCATTTTTACTCAGAAGTAAATGCTGAGGCTTACTCCCAAGTAAGTAGGAATAGGAGCGTACCCTTAATGTTGAAGTTACATTCTGCGCATAAAATGCAGGCCACACAAGAGATGAGTAAGCTTCAGTTAAGTGTGTATAGAATGACAAGCTTAGTCACCGTTTTAGAATGAAAATTTAGGAGGAAATCGCAGACTTAGGCTGCCATCCTATGGATACTTGGGACAGCAGAGCCCTACAATTTCCAGTTTGCCTCAGACAGCCATTGAAGATCATTTTTCTGTCTTGATGCAGAGGATTAGCCAACAGCTGGATTGATTTCTGCTCACTGCTTTATAACTAAGCAAAATAAATACAAATTTTAAGTTGCACATATTTAAGTGGTCACATACTACTATAATCTGGGTCATCCCATGCAGATGATTGGTGGGAGATGAAGGACAGGTAAAAGGAAGTAGTTTTTCATGCACTGAATAGGTAAAATTGGAATTCACTGCCACAGGAAGTAATGATGGCCACCCATTTGGATAGCTTTAAAAGGGGAATGGACAAATTCATGGAGGAGGGGGATATTAATGGCTACCAGTCTAGCTGACTATATGTTAACTTCCATTATCAGTGATGGCATGCACCAGTTGCTGAAGTGTGAGCAGGAGGAAGCCTTGTACCCATCGTGCTTGAATGATCCTGTGGACAGGACAGTTGACTTGCCACTATGTGGACTATTGCTCTGATCCAGCATGGCTTTTCTCATGTTCTTAAGTTGATGAAGCAAAGAAAATAATGCTTGAACACCCATTTTTGGTGTTATAGAATCCAGCAGTTGCCCAGGGCTGTTGTCAGCCAGAAACAAACACAGGTTTTATTATCTAATGTCTTCATTCCCATATGTAAAGATTTTTTAATTGTTCACTAAAAATCATGGTGTTCCATGAAGCAGGCAGTAACAATCTTAAACCCAAGATTAAGATCAAGAATGACAGTTTTATTACAGAACAAAAATTATTAATTTTCAAGGTTGTAAGAGTAATTAAAGGTTGATTGAGCAAGTAGCATTCAGTTTGGAGCAGCAATCCTTGGTTTTGTCAAAAGTGAGTGGGCTACATATGGGGCTGGCTCTGGGTCCGTCCCCCCCATGAATTTGACAGTGGTAGCTGTAAATTAACAATTTTAGCACTTGGAGTTCTGGAACTTGTCCATCCCTACCCTGAGGGAAGATGGGGAAAGGTTAATGCTAATTATGGAGAAGGGAGAGCCTCTTGGTTGCTTCTCACTGTATTTCCTTTACCGGAGACTGAGTTTTGGTGAATGGTCTTCTCTAGGTAGAGTTATAGTTGAGCAATAGCCTTCCAATTTTGTAAGAATGGATTGTTTGGTGGTCCAGGAGATATTCTTTGTTTGTTTGTTTAAAAATTCTGTACCCCGTCCACCACTAACATCTCAGGATGGCTTACTGTATATATAGTTAAGATATAGAGTTAATTTTTTTGTAATCCATTATGGATTAAGACTTCTGCATCATTTTATCCCAGAGTTGTTTTGATAGCTACCTGATCTTTATGATACCGTTCAGATATGCTCCTCAACAAACACTTGAGCCTTCCAGTATCAGATGTTTTTGATCTGAGATCATGTGGCCCTGAAATTGCATGCAGGTGACTCTGAACACTTACGCAGGAATGTGTGATTTCTGGAGGAAGTGGGCTACACCAGAGCTTATTTAGATATGTCATAGCAAGGAGGGTGGGTGCTTATATAAGCAAGTATCAGTGTGCTTTCCTTTACTTTTGTGCTGCAAGAAAAACACTTTGCCCCTTTACAGTCTTGAGCATCTCATGCACATCAAGTGGTAGCAATGAAAGTTAAATCCACTTCAGTTCTAGGTTGCAACACAACATAGTGTGGCAAAATCAAAGGTGGGGGATGATTCTGACTGAACATCAGGAAAGACTGCCTGGCTGTTAACAGCAACACAGTAATGGAAACAGTTACCAAGGGAGTTTGTGGGCTATCCTACACTGGAGGTATATGCAGCTGGACAGCCATCTGAGAGGGATGGTTTAACTTAAGAGCCCTGCAAAGAGAGGCGAGTTGGACCTGATGGCTTCTTTGGCCCCTTCCAACTATGCTATTTTGTGTTATGATTACTTTTGCAAGGCACTGTATGTAGCAGCATGGACTGTGTGGTTTCTTAATGATAGACAGATAAGAGTGAGTGCTGGTAGAGCAGGGAAAGAGGAATTTCTAAAGAAGCAGTGGATAACAAGTTTGTCCTTGTCCCCAGGACTCCAGGGTTGGTGTAACAATGGAATGGGGGCATGGATATGTGGAGCTCTCTCAGGACTCTACCTGCCACGTTCCTGGGAAAGGCTTGAACACAGGCACTAACAAGCCATGCATTCTGGTAGATCCCAGGCAGAACTGAGTCTATCATAATAAAAGAGGATGTGTGACTATCAGTGCTATAGTGACAAGGCCATGAAATCTGAATACTTGAAACCTGGTACACCTGCTAAGGAGACTAGCCATATATGCTTTGGATTTATTTAGTTTTAAAAATGCATTAATGCAAATGTATGTGCATAAAGCCTGTGGCAGCACCTTCAGTCCTTGGGTGGCAATTTCCCTGATTAGCTTTGTAGTCCATAGTTTGAAGTGGGGTATGGTGGGGAGTCCTCTGAGGGAGATCAAAGTTTGAGCTATACCTCTGTCACTTTGTCCTGCTATGGAGAAGCTCCTGGTTGAAGCTCCATCAGAGAGGGTGTTCAAGGATAGGCTGGACATGCACATGGTAGACATGTCATGAGCGGAGCTGACTGGAGCCGGGAAGTCAGACTTGATGGCCGCGAGGTCCCTTCTGACTTGTTCTGTTTCTATGGTCAAAATGAAGCTCTGGCAGTATGTCTATGTACACCAGTTTCTGGGGAATTTGGGCAGGAGGGGGCTGTTGCATTCATATCTTGATTGCAGGTGCTTCAAGCAGCCGGTGGGCCACCGTGCAAACAGAATGCTGGACTAGATGGAGAACTGGTCTGCTCCAGCAGGGATCTTCTCATGTTCTTACTCCTTTGAAAGTTTGTTTCAAATTGACCCTACCACTAAGAAGAGCTCAGTCTGGAGCATTGAAGACTTTCAAATTGGGAGCCCAGCAAGGCAGAGGTTTGCATTTTCTCACCCACTAATTCTTATGAAAATTGTGTGTGCTTTAACTGTTACATTTTTATTTTATTTATTTATTTATTAAAACATTTTTATGCCGCCCCATTCGCCGAAGCCTCGGGGCGGCTTACAATTTTTGATAGTGCATTTCCACCCGACCCTTTTTCCTCTTATGAGAAACCCAAGGCAAGTTACATAGCTCCGTTTTACCTTCACAACAATACCCTTGTGAGGAAAGTTAGGCTGAGAGTGAGTGAGTGGCCCTAAGTCATCCAGTGAGCTTCATGGCCCAGTGACGACTCGAACTGGCTCTCCTGGGTCCCCAGTGTAGCACTTCACTTACCATACCACACTGGCTCTGCATTCCAACTTGCAAGAAAATGTAATGTGTAAAAATCAAGGGGTGTGTGTGAATGCTTCTACAAGGCAGTCCATGTAGCAGTATGAGCAGTGTAGCCATAAGGCATGGGGGCCAAAATTCCTCATGGGTCATGTACTGGATCCCACCTAGCACTAGTATTGGGGCCAGAACTCCCAGAGGGCAGGGCTATCCTCTTCCACCCTCCTCTCCCTCCCTGCCCAGATGGCTCTTCTCTAGGGTCTGAACCAATCCCTTGTCAAGATAGAGCTTCTGGAATTAGGCTAAGGGCTGCATGTGACCTTAAGGTTACAATGAGTAGGTCACTATTTACTGGTATAACCCACTGCCATTAGTTTGGGTGGGGGGTCTGTCCAGGGACTAAGAGGACTTTAGAACTAAAGCCCCCCCCCCCAAAAAAAACCCAAGTCTTTTTCCTGATTTGGCATTTGAAGTCTGACATCAGGAAAGTAAAGGCTGTGGATGTTTCCATAAGGAATGGGAGCCAAGGTTTGGTCTTTCAATGGAAGACCTCTTTACCTGATTTTCTGAATGAGTCAGTGGGTGTATGTACATCTTCCCAGGAGTACATGCACCCAGTGATCTTTAGGAACCATAGGATTGCATGCTAAAACCTGAACATTTCAATCATAAGTAGGTCATGATAGTTTTTTGTTCTGAGGATAATACTGTGGCTTTCTTTTGGTTTTTTATTTTATAACCATAGCTGAATTTGTTTCAGTCATTGGCCTGTTATTTGTTGATATCATCTGACATGTATTTCAGTAGATGTTTGTGATCTTTAAAAAAGTGTTTTTTTGTCCAGAAAACCTTGTTTATGGGGTAA